AAACTCGAGTATTGATTCAATTAAGCATTATTGCCAGCAAAATTAACCGAATTAAACAGGAAACTGATTAATTAGACATTAGGTGATGACTCGACAAATAATCCGAACTGTCGGCCAAGCGACAGGACTGGCGTCGCAATATGGTGGTTGACGCCAGACTTTTTAGTAAATGTCTGGCGCTACACACCATACACTGGCGCTACAACCCAGATTTTGGCACCAATACTAGAGCCTCGGTCTGGGACTGTTTTCGATATTATTAGTCAACTGGGGTATGCCTAAAGTCGTACTAGGTCAATTCCAATTAAAAGAAGAAAAAACTTTATTGACTCGAATTAATTAATTAATTAATTAATTAGGCAAAGTTCTTTAAGTCATTAATTATAATCTCAACACAAATCAACAAACGGTTAGGAGGAGCATAGAATATATATGCACAACAAATAATGCACAATTAGGCAAGTAAGCACAATATGATGCAATGAGTTCGCAGCCTAACCATGGCTCTAGTTCTCTAAAGTTCGGGATATGGTGTAGTCAAACAGGGTCCATGGTTAATTGTTCAGATGCACCACGTAGAAGCCTAACCGTGAAGGGTTAACGCGTGTGGATAGAACACTGTGAGTTTTTAGAAAAAACTCGCTTCCATGGTTTGGTGAATTCAACCTCTCAGATGTACCCTTTGTTGCCAGGAGCATTCAATCGGGTAGATAGAGCATGAATTCCGAGAGGGTTATGTCCATATGTAGAACACATATGGGTTTCAGAAAAATGAGAAAAAATTCAATCAGGAAGTAGGATCGAGCAAACAATACGAAAAACCGGTCAAAATTAGAACGCATATTTCTGGCTCGGTATTGGGGAAATTGGCGCCAGCAAACAGAGACTGGCGCCAACTTTTAACTGTAGCGCCTGGCGCCAATACTGGCGTCTGGCGCTACGGATAAAAGTTTGGCACCAAGCTCTGGCCCCTGACGCTACTTCCCACATGCCTCAACAGCTTTCTGTGCTCAATAAAATTATCCAGTTTCGCGCGATGTTATTTCAGTCCTAGTTGTGAAAGACATTTCTCAAATTTCCTACGTGTAAAATCCTATGTTTTTGACTCATTACGGATGGTCTTTCCAATGAGAACCTTTTTATGCATATGAGAATAATGTTAATCAAAATTATGCACATGAAATACTTAGAACTTTTCAAGTCTCATCCACTCATTCTAAATCATTGCCGAAACAAGTTCAGGAATTGAAATAGAAATTCTCCCCAGCAGAGTCGCCAAAAACTGTAGGGAATAGTTTCAAGCCTTAAAAATCCCAATAGCTCAAACCCCACTGTGATCATACACTAAAGTACGGTGGCGTCCAAAAGGGAAGAAGATAGAGCAAAAGAGTCGCCAACAAGTTTTTAAGGAACTTGTAAACCGTTCACGAGGTGAAGGTTACATCCCTTAACGATCCAAGAGATCGTTAACTCCATAAGGTCATGAACCAAATAAGGGTTCGGGGATGATGTTACAAATCCAACCTAAAAGAGATTGAACCTACCCTAATAATAGGTCTCTACTTTATTCTGATCGTATTCATGTGCGCTTTCTGACTAACATACAATCAATAGGATTAACCCTAAACCTGTTTATCTATGTTGGTTGAATATTAATGCACAAACAAATCTATTATTGGCGATCACTTGAAATTATAATCACAATTAACCTAACAAGATTATTAATTATCTTATTAAGCGTGGTTGCAAATACCAATTCCCTTTAACCTGCATAAAAGGTGATCAAGCAATAAGAATATATAATATACATATCAAGCAACATAATAAATAATCATAATAATAATAAATAATCATAAACATTAGAAAGAACATAGGAAGCATCATACTTTTAATCATACTTAATATTAAAGATACCCTAGACATGATACTAGGAATCATAAATAACAATCTAAGCATGATATCTACATCATAAATCAATTAAACCATTAAAGTACTTACTTGGATGCCTCGTACCTCTTTCTTTCACGTCTAGGGCGAAGGCAACTTCGAATATGGCTAGGTGTATCAAGATCTAGTGAATGCGGAATTTTGTATTAAAGAGCAAAGTTTAGAAAGAATGCTAAAAGATTAATGATTCATAAAGTAATTGTTGACGATTGATGATTGTAGATGATGAATGAAAACGGAGTTTATTAAAACTTAAGAATAAAAAGAATTGGTGAATGGTAGATGTAGATGATTATTGAAAACGGAGTTTATGATACGATATTTATAGAAAAACATCCAAAAAAGATAATTTATCAAAACAGAGTCTGAAGATCACAAAACTAACTTGGCGCCAGCCTTGGCTCATTGGCACCAGGACCAGTGGCTAGCGCCAGGCGCCAATGGCTGGCGTCTGGCACCAATCCTGATTCCAGGCGCCAAGGCCTGGGGTTGGACGCCAAACCGGATTTTAACGCGTTTTCGAAAATCTGATAATTTTATTGTACTGGAAGATAAAATAATATAATTTCAGTCGAAAATGCTATTTGATCTAATTAAATCTCTGAAGAATCCTAATTGAATTAAGAATGATAAGACCTTATAGAATTTTCTAGAAGACTAAAACCATTCCTAATTACATTAGGAATGATAAATCATATTAGGCCCTCCCCTAGATCATTGGGCCGTACTTAAAGCTCAAACCGGGCCCAGTTTAGTAAATTGGCCATAACTTCCTCAATATTCATCGGAATTGGGCTTATAATATATCGTTGGAAAGGTCTTTGCAAGCCCCATCCAACTACACCACTATTGGACCCATATCATGGACCAATCAAACTGGATTGGCTGTTTTCTTAAAATAAAGTTTTTAAAAAACAGAGAGAAGAGAAGAAAAGAAAAGAAAAGAAATAAAACTTTCCGCAACACTAGATCTTTCCACACTTTCATTTCATTCGATTATGATTCGACGTGAAAGGCACTCATCACTGGGTTTGGTTTTGGGGAGACACAAATGGGTGTCTACAATGATACTATTAGATGATAAGTCATAACATTTGTAACCTCTATGATTTGGTGGATAACCTAAAAATACACTTGGTGTGGAACGAGGTTCAAGCTTGTTAATAGTGGTGGATGGAATTAAGGGTTATCACAAACACCCAAAAACACGGATATGAGAATAAGATTGTTCTTTTTGATAGAGAATTTGGAGAGGGGATTTGTGCTCAAGTAGCTTACTCGGTAGAATATTATGCAAATAAGTTGTCATTTGCAATGCATGGTGCCAAAAAAGATGGTGGAAGGGATGCATTTGCAAGAAGAATGCGGATAATATTATTCAATGATCTATTTTTCTCTCTGTGTTTCCATTTTGTGATGACGTATGTGGACAAGAAAGACGATAAGACATGCCATTATACTCAAACATAGCCCAAAAACGGTCCGTTATCATATTCCCTCTCGTTATCACATTGGAAATTTTTAATAGGTTGATCAAATTGTGTGCGAATAAAGGTTTAAAAGGCTAAGGCCTTATCAAAAACATCATATTTTCTAGCTAAAGGATAAGTCCTTAAAAACTTAGAAAAATCATCCATGATAAGCATATAATATCGAAGACCCGAAGAACTCAAAACAGGAGAAGACCATAGATCACTGTGAACAATATCAAAAGGTAAAGTAGTACTTGTATTAGAAGAAAATAAACGGCAACTTAATTTGCTTTCCGAGTACACAAGATTGACAAATACTAGAACTTGATGAATGAGTACATTCAATATTTTTATTACTACTAAGAGCCTTTAAAATGGAAGACCCCGGATGTCCCAATCGATCATGCCAAAGAGAGGAAGCTAAAGTTGTAAAGGTCGATGGAGAGGAGTGTGAAGAGGTGGAAGTGAGTGGGTATAGATCTCCTTGACTATCATATCTCATTATTGGCATCCCCGTCCGATAATTCTTCAAAGAAAAACCATAAGGGTCAAACTCAACAGACACATAATTATCAGTCGTAAATTTCCTAATAGAAATTAGATTTTTGATTAATTTAGGTGCATGAAGGACATTAGAAAGGGACAAGGGCGGGTTCGAGGACGACAAAGTAGTTTGACCACAACCACGAATTGGAATTGAATGACCATTACCAACAACAATATCATTATGATGATTGCTCAAATTAAAATAAGACGAGAGATTACCATTAGAGGATATCATGTGTGAAGTTGCACCGGTGTCCGTATACCACGAGGGATCGGGTTGGCTCCATGTCATGGTGTGCATAGACGATTCCATATCTGTCGGAACATAGGACTGTTATGAAACTACATAAGCATGTTAAGGACGAGGGCCTAGTACACCGGACTGCTTCTTCATTGGGCCTTGAGGTCTGGCCCACCCTTGGGTTGGGTATGGACAACGAGGATTGGTCCATTGAGGAACCCACCCCCAAGGTGGAAATTGATTCTGCCAAGGAGAAGGGAACGACCCCCACCCCTGCTGCTGACCCTAGTGTTGCTGGCCCGGACCACCGCGACCACCCCCGGTGGTCTGACTTCCACCAACACCTAAACCGCGACCACCTGTACCGCCACCAGCAAACTGCTTTCGGCCACCGTTTTTTTTCCTGATTTTTCTGCTTGTTGCGAGAAGGCCCTGCTTCACTCCCCGAATTAGATTCACGCAATGACCCTGCCACCAAAGTCGTTGCCGATGCAGCCTTCTTCGCCAAACTGGCTTCTTCCAAAGTGAGCATGGAACGGGCTTGGTAAAACTGTGGTAAGGGATTACTCTGCCGAATCAAAGTAGCCACACCCTTGTATGGTTCGGTTAGACCTGAAACCAATTGAAGAACAAGCTGATTGTTTTCCACCGGAGCCCCTATATTCTTCAATTGATCGGAGAGAGTTTTAAGTCGTTGACAATACGCCAAAGCGTTAGGAAAATCCTACATATGAGTATTAGAAAACTCATATTCAAGAGCCACAGCAAGGGAGTTTTGATTGTCTTGAAAAATGTCACGCAAGCGATCCCAAGCTTCCATTGCCGGAATCAGTTCAATAATGGTGTTTAACATGTCCTTATAAATTGTAGAATAAATCCACCCAAGAACCGTTGCGTCCAATGTCACCCAAAACTCCTTTCCTCATCAGTTGAAGAGGCAGCGACCTTCTTTTTCAAAGCAATGATATGGTCGAGAACCTTGTGTGAGAGCGTGTACTTTGAATAGGTTCCGCCCAAGTAGATTAAGAAACATTCTCCATTTCAAGGGGTTATGGGGATGTTACTTTTGATATAGAAACAGTAAAAGCCGGGTGAAAGAACTCTTAGAGTCCGACTGTAGACACCTAAAAATGTCTCCCAAAACCAAACCCGATGATGAATAACCTTTCGCCGCCATTATTGGTCGGTTCAGTATTTAATCCCGAGAGTGCTTAAAAAATCGTATTAATTAAAATCTATTTTGAATAGTCCATGGATCAGTCTTGATGTTTGGTCAAAGCATAGTTTTTTTTTATTCCAAATTTTTTTTTTTTTTTTTTTTATTATTTAATTTAGCCCAAACATTTTTTTATTTTATTGTTTGATTATTTTATTTGGCCCAAACTTTTTATTTATTTTATTTTTTACTTATTTTTATTTTAGCCCAAATAAAAAAAAAAAAAAACAGAAATGGCCTGAATTATCAATCGGCACTTAAATGCTGAACAAAATTAGGGTTAAAAATGAATTTAGATAGAAAAGCGGAGTGAAAACTCCCGCGTCACGGCAACAGTCCACCATGTGACGGGAAAATTTCCCGTCTGACGGGGGGTTTCCCGTGACACGGGACACCTGCTATGATACAGGGGTCTCCGCGTCACACAAAAGTAAACCGTGTCACGGGAATGTTTTCTCCCCCGTTCACTAAATATTTCCCGCGTCACACAAAAGTAAACCGTGTCACGGGAATGTTTCCCGTCTGACGGTGGGATTTCCCGTGTCACGGTACACTTTTCGTGTCGCGGTAGACTTTTTTAGGGTTTTTATTATTTTAGGGTTCCGTGTGTTCCCTCGGCACATTTTTTTCTATAAATACCCCCTCATTTCTGATGTACGGGGCATGAATTAAACTCTCTATTTTTCTCTCTCTATGCTCTAGCCTAAACACTAGCCTACCCTTCTTCTTTCAAAATTCCTTCTTCAAGCACTCCTTGGATTCCATACTTTACTCGTGGTTTGTCCTTAAGCCAAGGCATGAAAGGTAGAACTGTTTGAGGGTTTGGCCCCAAATCAACTCTACTTTATTTAATTTAATTTAATTATTGTTTATTATTATTTCCTTGAAGTTACTAACTCGTTTATTATTTTGTAGTTGCAAGCAAACAGAATCAAAGTAAGAATTATGTTCCTTTTATTTCTATTATTTTTCTAACGATTTTATATTGTTGGAATTATGGTTAAATTGCTTCCAATATTAGTGAGAATTCTATTATTATTTTTTATTGATCACCATATTGCATGTTTAAAGGGAATATGTAATTGAAAATCACGTCTAATAAAAAATAATTTGGACAACAGGTTTAGGTTCCTTTTTAATCTTGTTGTTTAATCAAGTGATCACTAATTTTTAGAATTATGTGGTGCATTAATATTCAACCAATTTAGTTTAATAATAGTTTAGAGCAAATTGAATCTCTGTTTGTATGCCTTTGAGATCGCATGAATCACTTTTCACTATAAGAATCGAGTAGAGGCCAATACGGGCGAATGTGACTCCATGACTCACTTCGTACCATCATCCCCGATCCTCCTTTCGTGGTTTCGAACCATATGGAGTTAGTAATCTCATGGATTATGAATGGGGTGTAACCTTCACGGGTCAATCGTTGTTGCCTTCGTTGTCCCTTATTCGTGGTTGCCTTTTATGATCCGTGAACGGTTTAGAAGTTCCTTAAAAACATGTTGGCGGCTCCCTACTTTCTTTGTCCCTAATCGTATTATGTCAATTCCCCACTTTACAAGTTCCTTAAAACTTGTTGGAGGCTCCCTACTTTCCTTGTCCCTAATCCTATTATGTCAATTCCACTTCCTGTGAGTGGCATTCCTATGATTTTTGAAAAAATTCCTGTGATTAATTTGGCATTTTTGCATAAGCATAGACGTTTAACGTCGCGTTTAGGTCTGTCCCGTAGGAAAAATTGAATAACTTGATTGCGTACGAAGGAAAACAGGGCACCACTCAGATTTTCTGACTGCCGTGCCACGGCAGAATCTGCCGTGTCACAGTGCAGTACACTGACTGACGGTGTGCAGTACCGTGGCAAGGGAATCTCTACTGTGTCACGGCAGTCCTAAAATCAGTCTGGTGGCTTGTTTTCTCTCTCACAGTCAACTTCCTTCGATTTTTTTTTGAAAAAACGTGTGTGTTTTACATGCGTCTTAGCCCCGGGGTTTTAAGCTCTATCAACCCAAAAAACGTCATGCAATAAGGGTTCATCGAGTTATTAAATCCACCCAAACCATGGAGTCGAGTTCGATTTCATCACGAACTCGCGGAGCCGCCGTTGGCATACACCCTCAAGGGAGGCTGCCTTGCTAACACGTCCAAACTCTTAACCATGGTACCCTTTTGACACCCAAAGCTTGACCAATAGTTGAACATAGATCTTGACCCTAGGTTGCGAACTTTTTAAAATCATCGTGACTAAATGCTACATGGTTTGTTTGGTGCTAACCCTCTCTTTTTGTTTAACCCATGACCGAGGGTTTTTATTTTCACATAGTAATTAGTACGGACCTAAAATCGACTAAAATCTGGAAAAAACTCACAAAAAAGACCTGGAACTGAGCACCGTGTCACGGCAATTCCTGCCGCACCACGGTGAACAGTGCCGTGACACGGTGCTTTTTACCGTTTGACGGTAGACTGCACCGTGTCACGACAGTCAGTACCGTGACACGGTGCCCGGGAACTGTCCTGTTAGTTTTTTTTTTGGTTTTTGTGCATACATATGTGGTTTATGTGTCCAGTTTGGTGTCATGTCTAGATGTACGGTCATAACACGCGTCCATAACCTCACTTAATCACTCACATGTCGTGTTCACACACTTTTCCGTTAGTCGTGCACCATTTCATGACCGTATTTTAGGGTAGTCTTTTGTCATTTTTTTTTGTGTCGTTTTTTTCGAGTAAGTCGGATGGTATCCTCCCATATTTTAAACAATAAATAAATTGAATAAAAAATTATTGAATTTTAAAATTCAAATTTTTTTTTATTTTCCAATGGGTTAAGGTTAAGTTTGGTCATTAAAGGTGTGTTTGTTTCGGTGTCACAGCACTTGGTCAAGAAGCAAGGGTAGAATGTTACGGTTCGAGTCAATACCTCAACAACCTCTTATACCAAAGAGGCGTACAAGGAAACCACCACAATCATCTCCACAAGATCCATCTCCAGTCTACTTTCAACCAATGGCTACTAAGGAAGATATCGAGAACATCAACAGGACAATTGAAATGTTGTCTAACATGATGTAAACACTCACTACTAGAGTCAACATGGTAGAGCAAGACAATCAGAACAATGTCACTGCCGCTGCAATGGACAAGATTAAGGACAGATGAGTAAGATTTTGAAGAATTCACTTATGTAGAGCAACCTGTCGCCTCTTCGTCCATAACGGATTCCCAGTTTTCCACTGCTGCATTCCCAAATTCAAGCCTACTGATAATCCGCTCTTCCATTTGAAGGCCTTTTCTTGACCATGGCTCTTAAGGGAGTAGATGTGACACTCTTCCCTACGGTGTTCCCTCTTTCCTTAGAGCATGCCTGTCAACAATGGTTCTACTCTTTGGAATCCAAACATGTTGCGACCTGGGAGGATGTTGCTGAAAGCTTCATGGAATCGTTACAAGTGTAACATTCAGGCCAAAACTTCTGAACGTGAACTCTCCATTCTCAAACAGAAAGAGAATGAAGGCTTCACCACTTACTTAAGCAGATGGAGGGAAATAGATGCGCTCTTGGTGGATCCCCCCAAGGAAAAAGAGATGGTTCGCTTGTTCATTGCCAATTTGACTCATAAGTACAAGCAACACTTGAAGTTTCTGCCTCTGAGTACCTTCGAAGCTGTATACGATATTGGAATCAATATCAAGGATGAACTGATGAAGACTACTGGTAGCAACAATAATAACAGCACTTGGAAAAACAAGAAGAACGAACTCCTTCTTCTTCGTCTTCCAAACCCAATAATGCTACCTACAAATATCAATATCAATGATGTGTTGGCCCTTAATGCTCCTCCTCAAAGATTCCAAAGGAAAAGGAGGGTTTACACGCCTTTGGGAATGAATGATGATGCTTTTGACCGTTTGCATGTCAAGGACTGATTATGCCAATTGGACCATTTCCAGAACCTCGACCAGAGAATAGAACCGCTAGCTATGACCCCAATGCTTATTGCAAGTTTCATCAAGGCAAGGTCATAATACTGAGAAGTGTTGGAGGTTGAAGGATGCGATCAAGACCTAATTGATGCTAATCAACTTCCTGTCCCTCCAGGGGGCAACAAGCCTAACATTCAAACAAGTCCTCTTTCTGATGCTTTGGCTATCATGGGAGATGAAGTCTCCTTTGATCCTTCAATACTCATTCAACCTGTGAATGAACCTTTGCCAGAAGTGTATTTGTCTCGAGCTATGAAGAAGTGAATGGAATTTGGGATAGTGATGATGAAGACGTCTATCTCAAGGATATAGCCTGTTCATCTCTTGGCACAAGTGAAGATGTTTGGGGAGACCTTGAGGTCAAGGTTCTCACCAGAAGTGGACGGTTGCAACCACCTAGTCCACCTCCACCTCCACCGCAATCACAACCAATAGTTGATCCCATCGACCCTGTGAACAACGATGTGGTCAAACAATTACAAAAGACCAAGGTGGAAATGAATGTATGGAAGCTTTTG